TCAGCCAGTGCATGTTCTTCCTGAGTTAGATTCTGAATGTACTTCATACTCTTCTTCACAGTGTTGTCGGCCACACACAGCTGCAGCATACACTGCAGCTTGCTGTTCAAGGTATCTTTCCATCATATCGTGAGAGGAGTTCCACCTAGTTGGAACATCTTGAATCAGTTTTTTTTCACTAAGCTGCAGCAGTTGCTGTTTTTTCTTAAACACATTGCATCCTGTTGTGCTTCTGTGAAAGAAGGAGACAATTCTTCCCATCTTTGCCAGGAGATGGGAAACCTTCTGCACTGCCATTCCTTTCTGAGCAGCTGTATTAATAGTATGCGCAAAACATCTGATTTGTGGCCCCAGTCCAGCAGCTGTGACGGCATTAACTATGTTCTTAGCATTGTCAGTAGTTACAGGTATTGTCACATTTGGTTGCACTAACTTCCAGTCTTTCCCAGCTTCAGACAGACCTTTGGCTAAGTCGTTAGTGGTGTGACTTTTGACCAAAACAGTTTTTCATCTGCCATTCCGGATCAATGTAATGTGCTGTGACAGTGAGGTAGCTCTGTGTAGCTCTTGATGTCCAGCCGTCTGTGTTTAGAGCAACAGCGGGTGCTGCTGACACTGCCGTCTCTAATTTAGCTTTTGTCTCCTTGTACAAAGCAGGAACGGCGGTATCATCGAAATAGGTTTGTGAAGGAATACTGTAACGGGGCTCAAGTATTCTCAGCATTTCCTGAAACCCGGTGTTTTCTACAACAGAAAAGGGTCGCATGTCGACAGCAATAAAAGTAGCAATTGCCCTGTCGATTTTTTTTGCCCTCTTAGAATCAATCAACAGCTGTCTAAATGACTCGGGTAAAGTTTGTAGCATGTGTGCTTGCTGTTGTTTTTGTCTGCTTCTGAACTAGTGTGACGTTGGCTTAAATGTGCATTTATATTTGTTGTGTTCCCACCGATGTAATTAACCATGGTGTGGCACATCCGACATAGTGTTGCTTACCATCAGGGTCATACTTCACATGAAAGCCAAAATAGTTCCAAAAGCCAGATTTCAATGACGGTGGAGGAGGTTCAACTTCGGGTGGCATTGAGGCAGTTGCCATGTTGCAACAAGCTTAACTTCTGTCTTGCTAGCTTGC